TGTGTGTGTGTGTGTGTGTGTGTGTGTGTGTGTGTGTGTAGACCGGATGGGTGTATTGATTTCTGATGGATGGTGGGAGCTTTCTTTCCTCCTGACATAAGAAAAAGACCTCTCAGCCCAAACTGTTACTAATGTGACAGGATCAGGAAATGGTCTCATCTTCATTTYAACAAACTCAAAAGGAAAGTTTGAAGCATCCTAAACTAAATGTGTTGCCTTTCTTCCTGGTGCAGATTAATATTGAAATTGAATAAATGCTGATTCATCATTCACGTTATTGTTTTCCTGTTAATCGTCCCATAGATTTGTATCTGCTATTTTAGCCATTCATATATCAAAAATGTTCAGCTTGATCAGGAATAGTATGACTTTTAGTGGCCTATGTTTTTTTTTTATTATTTTACTTTATATACAAAGTTTTTCCCCAGAAATAAATTGAAATTTTTCAGTTCCTTCAAAATTGTTCTATAAAATCTAGTTCACCATACTGTCTTTTATTTTTATGCTCTTTTTATCTTTTAACTACAGTTGTGCTGACTTTAGGTTTTAGTTGCAGTTTTGTGAAATTTTAGCTTTTAGCTATGGTTTTGACATATTAGGTTTTAGTTACCATTTAGCCAATTTCAGATTATAGCTATAATTTTTTGCATTATGCCTTTTGTTTTGCTGACTATAAGTTTTGATAATTTTACTGCAATTTTGTTATATTTAGCTTTTAGGTACCAATTGACTAATTTTCGCATTTAACATTTAGCTTTTAGTTGAAATTTGCTACTTTAAGCTCTAACTGTTTTTGACAATTTTAGCTTTTAGTCACAGTTGTCCCTGATTTTATAGCTTTGAGCTACTGTTTTGCAAAATTTATAGTTTGCTCTGTTTCTTATAACAATTTAATTTAATTATAAATTTTTAAATTTTCAATAAATTCCTGCAATGTCTTTCTCAATCAGGATTCACATTGAGTTTGGGCAGAAAAAGCTATTTCCCTCTAGTTCAATATTTTTTGTTCACTAAGAAGACAAAAATAGGGCAGTGTATTAAGTTTTGAAAGGTTTTGTCTATATGTTTGATGACATTTGGACTTGACCAATGTAACAACAATCTTAACATACTTTTTGAATCAGTAAACCTTTCACAAAGGTACAAAAATTGCTGCCCGCAGGCGTTTCTTCTTCAGCATGCAGGCAAAACCATYGAGCTGAAGCTGATAAAGCTGCGTCAAAACAAGCACGTTACCGGAACATGACTTGTTCKCCTTCAAAATAAGACTAATTTATTGTCTTTAAAACAAGACAGAGAAATGTAATTCAGTCATGGGATTCACAAATGAAAAAAACTCACTGTATTAATAAATATTTAGCTGTTTTGTTTTATTTTGTATCTAATTATGTAAGTAGCGTTGTCAGAAATTATTTTATTTTGGCTACACATGTTGAAATCTCGTCAAATTCKTCCAACTTTACAATCAGCCAGAGAAGCAGGTCAGTCAAACTATCGGTAACTACTGGCGGTGGGAATCCCTCTAAGTCGGAATACTTTCAGGGGACTTGTCTGCGAGACGAAGTAGACAGATGCTGTTTATTTCTCCGTCCTGAGACGCAGAGGTTACCAGCTGAGGAAAACGTCTCAAGCATTAAGTAGCGGTTTCCGGTGCGCAGTGTTGTGATGGCTAGCGGTTGTTGCTAACTGTACGTCTCGCACTGCCTGGTTAAGATAATTAGCTCTTCTCGTTTGGCTATTGGGTTCGCAGCAGACAGGCTTGCCATCTCTGTCGCTAAGGCCGGCTCGCTGAAAATGCGCTGGACGTTACAGTAAGGTGAGTGTTTGCTGACTAGCTCTCTGAAGCGGACTCTCTCTGGGTTAGCGGAACGCAGCGGCTCTGACTATTCCCTGGATTCAGAAACATTCCATCAAATATTGCTCTGGGGTTCGCCGGGGTTTCGGATGGGGTCTCCGAGCGTAAGCGTTTGCTGAACGGACGGCGGTAACTCAGCCCTGTTTAGTATGATGTCATTGCTTCTCTATTACTGCCTCGGTGCATATATTCATATTTTAACAGCCCGAGAGTTGGCACACCACGCCAGTGAATAAGCGCACCCCCCACACGCCGTGTTGGCAGCTGAAGCCCTCGTCGCATTCTTACACATGAAGTTGTTGAAACATGTGCAAAGCTGTCAGCGCTAACGGGACAGCCGCTAAATGCTTACAGCTAATTCGTATCCAGGAAGTTTATTGTTTACTGCAGTGACATTGTGTTTAATGTAACAAAAAGTCTCAGAGAAAGCAGGACTGCTGTAAAAGTTTTACATTTTTGCTTTTGCTCTCCTGACTTTTTTTTCCTCTCTTTTTTGCAGGAAGATCACCAGATGGAAATATGACACCCAGTGGGTTTCTTACAGTGTATTTCCAAATGATGGATTACCTTTCTTCTAAGAATTCAGACCTGGATTGCTGCAGAGATTTCATCTTCTTACATTTGAATTTATTTTTTATCAGTTTGTAAAACCAACAAAGAAAAAAAAAAAAACCAGCCAACACTGGATGCTCTGGATCAGACCTCACTATATTTCCCCACTCTTAGCGTGCTTCCGGTGAAACATTAACAATGCCTTTATGCAGGCTGGACATGCTCAGATACATATAAACATTAGCCCAAATAAGGAAGTCCAGGACGGGGGTAGCCTCACCATAAATACCAGTTCTTAAAGAACCATGGCTTCAGTATGGAAGAGACTGCAGCGTGTGGGGAAGCACGCCTCCAAGTTCCAGTTTGTGGCTTCCTACCAGGAGCTAATGGTAGAATGCACAAAGAAATGGTGAGTTTACTGGTGATGAATGGTACCACAGTGTTGTCACTGAAGCGGCATGAAAGGTGTGTCTGTGCTGTGGCAAGCTTCAGTTCTGATGATCATAACACATTTATAATTTGTTTGAAGCACAGGTGTGTTGTATGCAGGGAGGTGCCTGGCTTTGTTGTGAATTTAGATACCCCTGTATACCAGGGAAGAGTTTTTTTGGTGCAAGTTTTTAGATTTTCCTGATTTATATTTCATAGATCGTTCAGTTGTGGGGAGACTTCTAAAACGTTCTGAGTGGATGATGTGTGAAAATTAAATTAAATTATGTGTAAAGAGTAAAACAAATCTTGTTAGCTTGTTGTGGTCAAAGCAATCTGAAAAATTGTCTAAAATGATTAAAATGTCCTGTTTTTGGCTTTAACAATAAACTTTTGAATTTCTAAGTCTTTAACACTTTTGCTAAAAATATGTTCAAACTTTTAGAAATTAAGGGCGTAAGCATTTCCTGAATACAAATCACTGAACACCTTATGCCAGAGACTGAATCATATCTTCTGATGAGAAATGACAGAATTGTAGCTGTTGTGGTCAAATCTCAAAATAACTTTACACTCAATCTCATGATGCACAAAATTGGGTTAGATTTCACAATCAGTATTTCTTGTGGATGACTTAGTTACAAGTGCATCAATTTTTAGCTGTATGTTTGTAAAAATGACACATCATACCTATTTTTGTATTGTCCCAGGTCATTTGGCTGTAATGGCCATTTTGAATTAGTTTGGCTGCAAAAGTCAGTCAATTGTAAATGTACGTTATATCATTATTTCCTGGATGTTGCATTAAAATCGGTTTAGCATTTCATTATATTTTGCTAAAAGGCAGAGTTCACTCCAAAAAAAAGTAATGCAGAAGGTTTAAACAATGATCTTTTGCCATTAGAGCTGCCACAAACGATTATTTTTATAATCAATTAATCACCGATTATTTTTTCGATTAGTCAACTAATCAGATCYTACGTTAATTGAATATAAAACATACAGCTTATCGCGCCAGAATGCAGCTGCCATTATATAACCATTGTTAGATTTTAGCTATATGCTAACTAAAAATAATAGCTGTGGAAGGCAAGTTCTGCTCTGCAGACATTGCACAGGTTTCTCTTTCATTATCTTAAAAAAGATCCCACACTTTTAAGCTACATTGCTGGGTAGCCATGATACCAGAGCCTGTCTGTATAATGTCTTGTGACGTCCACGGCCTACCCCAGTTATCACTACTGCGCATCTGTGTCAAGGACAGAAAGGTAGATGCGGCAGTGGAAGGTGCCAAAGCAATTTGAAGAGAAAAACAAAGTAAAGAAC